TCTGCAACTGACTTAGCAGCCACCGACGTAATGACTTCTGTAGCATCAATGTTGGGCTTGCCAGGTGTCTTTGACTTTTCTGCTAATCGTTTTGATACTCCCACATCCTTATGTGCGTCAGTATTGTGCACATTCTCAACCTTTGCCGATTTCGCTGGAGGTCTGCCAACGGAACCACCTCTAGTCCTACGAACTGAAGGCGTGGAACTGGATGGAAATTCGCTTTCCAGCGATTCAGAACTCGATGAAGTATGTGATAAAGGAGAACGAAGCTTGTGTTCGGAATCACCATCTGGAGCGGATTCTGACTGAACGGGAGCATTTTCGGTAGATTCTTTCTCCTCAGCCACATTCGAAGTACTGCTAACGTCAGGACGATTAAGCTCTTGTGAATCGGATGTGCTTGGTCTTTCATCTCTTGATTTACATTCCACAGCAAGGCCTGTATTGCGAGATGGAAGCACTTTTTTCGTTCTTGCGATTCTTCCTTGAGAAACCGTACTCGAACGTGCGCCAGCTAAGATATCTTCGAAAAAGTCTGTAGTGGTTTCAGCAGCTTTCGTCGGTGAAGACGCCTTCTTGCTCATGGTTTTTTCCTGAGATGGAGCACATCGTGCACCAGCCAAAATGTCGTCAGTAAAGTCGCTGGTCGTTGGTTTCTTCGGTGTATCCGTCTTCCTCTCCTTGAGATCACTCTCTTTCTTTGCCTTACTAGGGACCGCAGCGGAGACATCGGGAACGTTCACATCGACAACTTCCGACTGTTTCGATTTCTCGGCTTTCTTCCTGGAAAGCAACTGTTACATTCGAAGAAATTACGATTTCGTGATATAAAACATTACGTCGTCGTCGCTGCGTCACTTTTCAGCATCTCCTTCACTTCTGCGAACGGTCTTTGCGATTCAGACTCTGAAAAGCCGCATTTTTCAAAGTTACAAATTGCAACACGTTTTTCAAGGGGAATGATGAATTCAGAGTTGCGGCTAAATTTCTTAGTTATTTATGAATCTAGCGCATTTTGAAGCCCACGAATAAGAACAACAGCAAAACTCACGAGTTCTCGCACTTCTCGTTCCCAGCTTCTTGGACATCTCATCCTTCAAACGAGAAATGTTCTAAAAATGAATGTTGACGGTGAGCATACAAATGAAGTTTTATATTGATTGTGAACAATAGAACAGAGGCGACTTCACAAAAGGAATATTTGAGAAGTATGTATGAAAGGAGAATCTATCCATTGAATATATCAGAAAAACTAAGTGATCACTTACCTCTGGAATTTGTGAGTCACTTTCTGAACCTCTACGAGAGCGTAACGATCTCGGATTAAGCTGAGCATAGAGCTGCATCGCAAGATCACGATCTTTTGCTACAATCATGAAAACTTATCACAACTTCCATCAATGAGGAACAGGCATCAAAAAATTCATTTTCAAAATAACCACAAAGCTGCTTTGATAACAAAATCACGGCATCGCTGAAGCACAGGCCCGCAATCCAGGGCACTATTTATGTTTTACGACACAGGGGAGTAGGACAATTGGAGTATAGGGTACTGAGCATCAAAGGAAAGTACAAAGAATGGTTCTGGCGATTTGGAGAATAGGGAATAGAGGAATCGGAAAAGGCAAACCAAGGGAATGCGTCTCAAAAAAAGATGTCAGTCGATGAGCTCTGGTCGCTAGCGAACCCTTCAGAATAGAAAAATGAGAGAGCGAGAGCAGATCGATGACCGATTTCCATTTACTCATCTCGCTCACATTCGTTACCCTATTTCCAAATTCTCCTTGTATTCTGCACTTCTGTGTGCGAAGTATGAACGCGGTATAACCAATTAACAGGTAAAAGGACTGCGCGACGCGACATTAACGCGCTTTGTGACAAAGTATCTCCTAACTTTCAATGGGTAACGTGCATTGCACCCACGTTGAAATCCCACGAGTGATGTATGATGGGGCGCATATAGGGGCATGGATTTGGCGCAGCACACACTGCATCATTCGTATCAGTCGTTTTCCATCACCTGATGTCGCTCGCCCGTATCAACAACCCGTAAGAAACGAGCTCGCAGCGCGCCAAACAGAGCCTCACTGACAATCCCAAGCAAGCAAGATTTAGCTACGCGGTGAAATTCAGAAGGAACAAATAGAGACTCGACGGGTTGCTTCTAATTTCTAGCTTGTTTCCTAAGACCATCCATCTGCTGACAACAACTTTCTGCCGCAACATGATTTTACAGCATTTTTAACATTTAGCAAAATTTCCATACCTGAAGATCTATGGCGAGGAATGGGTTGACGCTTGCTGGACGAGCTACTTGAGGGCTCCTCAGAAGATTCGTGAACTTTCTGTGGAGTAGTTTCCACAGTCGGTGACCCTTTCCCCACAACACAGCTCAACGACTCCGCTTGTTCTTGCCCGTGTGACGTGCTCTCTTCATGCGACGACGATCCTTCTTCACGTGTAGTCACTGACTCCACGAGCTGTTCGCAAGCCTTCTCTGCACTAGGCAAAGGTACCATCGCCTGAAATGTTCATCTCACAGGGGGAAAATAAACTCCTTTTTGGCATCATCCTGTAGAAAAAGCTTGGGGATCACTGCTTACCGCTTCGTTGTCTTCGGAATGTTTGATTGGAGTCAACTTCTCTTCCAAATCCACTCGCAAACGCCGACCAAAACCTATAGCTCGCTTGGTACCATCAGCCAGTGGCGTCTTGGTTGTGCCAGACCTGAGCATGAAATGGATGAACAACTGACCATTACGACTCTTACATGCACATACTCAGATGTTCTGCCTGCTTCACTGTGGGGTTCCGTGGCACATGGGACGGATACGAGTTGGTCCTCAGATAACTCAGCTGCGGACCCGGGAGGTACCACCTCCTTCTCAGCGATATCATCAGAATTCTGAAAACAGACAACGAAGGTCTACATAAAAGTGTGCTATGGCGCTATTCGAAAAAAAAACGTACCCGTTCCATGTTATCGCTGGACGCGCCCTCAGTGACTACCGTCTCGCTCTCATCGACCATCACTGCGCGTTCTTCAGTTAGGACCGTATCAGCTCTCTCACTGGGAGGCGAGGCACTCGTATGGGTAGATTTTTCAGCAGCAGCTTGATCAGCGCTGAGTACGGATTCCTTTGCCGTTTCTGACTCCTTCGTTCCATCATCTTCATTCTTTCCATCACCGACCAATACATCCATCTCATCGCCAAGGTTCCCATCACCTGTCGATTCTTCTTGGCATGTGGGAGTGGCTTCTTCATAAGGTACAATATCCTCTTTTCGGGCACCTTCTGCAGCTTTACTAACGAGAACTTGGTCCTTCGAAGTCAAGTGGAATGACTCCATCTACCATAAGGTTCTCAACTAAACTATCGTCCACCTCTGTAAGTGAAATTTGTTCTCGAACGGGCGACTTATCTATTTCGGAAGGCGCAGCTACATCCATGGAGACTGTATCTCGTCCATCATCAGGCTGAAAGCAGTGTTAAAAGCATGTTGCTTCATTGTGATAAGACGACTCAAAGGTAATGGAGTAATACCTGTTCTACAGCTTCATCCTGCCTTTCGGGACCCGAAGCAGGCATATCTGATTGCACCATGTCAGCATCACGTTCTTCATCTGAAGGAATTACTATCACTGCTAAAAAGCAGTATGTTATACAGGATGTTATATTGTACAAGAGTACAATACAAGGATGTTACACAGTCTTGTTTGCTGCGGATGACGGGGCATGTCAGTGAGGCTGGGTCTGACGCCCCGCCAGCTCGTTCTCACCAGTCACCGAAACGAGTAAGCGATAACAAGTGGTGAAAAATGACTGATACTAACGACTTGAATCAGTCCTGACGCTTGCGCGTTTCAACCACTGGTGTCAAACGAGTTCGGCACCGCGCCAAACCTAGTCCTCTCTCAAATGAAAAAAAAGCGCGGAGCAGTTAGAAGAAGCAAAAATAATCGCAAAAGACGGGAAAGTTTAGTTGCACCGCTTGGCAAGCATAGAAGGGAAAATCATGGCGGCTGTGATTCTGACGTTGCACTATATTGGCCTACGAAAATGATGTCGGTGCTAGGAAAACCCTCGAAGCGTTCTGGATAAAGCACCGCAATCCATCCATGAACAACAGGAATGAGTGCATCTCAATAACTGCTGATTTCTTACCGTACATTCCGCTGTGCGGTCTTTAACAGTGAGAACGGGATCTACTGCACTTACGCACTATATCACTATGGCAGCGCATAGAAGTGAGTCTCACTTGCTCTATCGGTTCTTGAAGTTGAGCAGAGCATCGGCGCTGGTGGAACTGACGAGGTAACCTACTGCTGGAATTTCCTTTCGTTGTAGTCCCTTGGTCAGTGTTGCAACTAGTCAAGGCGGGTCCGTGTTAAACAGGATAGGTCGTATTTCACGACTTTCGGTGTGCTTTCAGGCCTTTGAAAAGATTGTCGAAACGTCAGGCGTAATAAAGGTTCCACCATATAAACCTGTCCGGCATAAGAAAGAAGTTATAAGTCGCAAAAGACGTGGCTCCGCGCGGTGCCTGCTGCTTCAAATAACGCAGCTCTTCCAACATTGCATTTTTTTCGAGTTAAAAAAGCTAAAGAAATCCTAAGAGGCTTTTCATAATATTTCCCTGCAAGAATTTGGAGGCAGTGCCTCCGTGAGAACTGAAATACTACTTCATTCATTATTGCAGGACTGACGGAGGTGGTATGCATTAAAATATTGCAAAGAAATGTTTTGGAGAGGTTCACAGAATACAAAAATTCCGGAGCCTCAACGTTATTACACTCTATTGCCACCATGTGGGTTCAGGACAGCACAACACGAGGACTTCTGAGGTAGCCTACCATGCGGTCCCGGTCAGGTGTGATTGATAAAGGAAAGTAGTGCGCAGTTTGGTTAGAGAGAGGAGTGAGGGGGGGCATTTTGCACTTTCGGTGCCTCCCATAGTAGTGTTGAGCCATGAAGAGAATTAAGGAAATCTTGCGAAGAGAAGCGGAAGCGGAAGTAGCCAAAGTTCACAGAAATTACTTGCACCATTGTAAAGAATACCTGTCAGCCTTGTAAGCAGGGCACGCCATCGTTGTGATCATCACAACAGGGGGTCGTATTTGACCTCGAGGGAGGGGGTCGTAAGCGCGGGGACCTTTCTGAAGTGAGGGTGCAGCGATACCAGATGTCGTTCAGCTTCAATGATGAAAGACTTATCCATGTGAAGGACCTCTGAAGAGACCCACACAAGACAGAAGCAACCTGCCAGCGCAGAAGTGGGGAACGGGCGATGACAGGAAATACGATGGTCGCCCACAACGACATGAATTAATAAAAAAGATGAAAGGATAAAGTCTCCGCTCGTATAAACCCTTCGGAATTGTGGCACGCATTTACTTCCATTCAGAATCACAGTAGCTCATTGTATAAGATGTGGCCTTGCGGTGGCCAGCCGATGTGAAAGTCAGCGTTTTATCCTCCCAGACGAATCTGGTACCAATTTACCGTCCCCGGAGGGTAGAAGGCTTGGTTGGCCTGGGCGGGTGTCGACCTGGGATTCGAACCCAGGACCGCGCGAGTGGTAAGCGCGCCACTTGTCACTACACCACCTCCGCGCCAATGAATATCCGCCATGAATAATAAACAGATGAAAATACACTTCCGGACCTTTCTATCGCAGAAGCACATCTACTTGCACCTTTCTAGAAGTTGCACCTTCCCAATAGCTCTGCGTGAAAGCGCTATGCATGGCGCAATGCAGAGGTGATGCCAATTGGCGTCCAATGAACTATTTCCTGGTATCCTTGGCAAAAACATGCGTTTTAGAAGCATACCAACGTCCTCAAGCTTTTTTCTAGAGAGGCAGATTTGGATGGAAATTGGTTACAGTGGTACTTCGACCTCCTGAACACGAATATCACAATCCGCTCTGCCCGAAACTTTTCATCGATTTTGGTGATTTGGGTATTTTGGCGCCGCGCCACAGGCGCCGGGGCCAAAATATCCGAAATCGAAATCACCGAAATCGATGAAAACTTGTATACGGGGGTTATTTGACATCCTGTTTTCGAATGATATTTATTCTTGGCGCCAGCGCTAACGTAGGACACTATGGTCACCTGCGCCTTGCTGAGACTGAGCCTGGCCTGAAGGGAAATCTTTCCTTTTTCCCAGTTTCAGCCTCAGCAGAGCGCTAAATAGCTTTGGTATGGAGAAATGATGTCATACTGGTGATCAGGACATCGAATAACATCTATAGATAAAGTTTCAGCATAAATTTTTTTCTGAGTTTCTGGCGTAGGAATAGTTCAATAGTGCCTGCTCTCTTCATTGTCATTTTCTTCGTCCCTTTGCGCTTTTTTATTTTACCCTCGTGAGAGGGAGGGGCTACCAAGACCATTTTTTATATTTGGGGGGGGGGGTCGTATTTAGCGGGAAATGATCACAACGCGATGGCGTGCCCTGCTTCTAAGGCAATCAATATGACAGCAGGGAGTAGCAAAGGTGCAAAATGCCCCCGATCTCAAGCCGAACTGCGTCGAAAGCGGTAGTTCTAAAACAAGGAGCGACAAGAAATGAATCCTACCTTGACCTTCCAATACACTAGAAGCAGGTGAAGGAGAAGCCGATAAGAGCAAGTCTTCCCGCGCCAATGAGAATCTCCCGTCGTTAGCTTTTTAGGAGACTCTTCCTGAAATCAAGTCCAAGTGCAGTCATCAGTAAAACATACACTGTCACCGCAAACTTACCTGAGCAGCTTTTAAAACGACTTGTGTGGCAGTTTCTCCCGTTAATTCAAGGGTAGACAAAACAGCGTCACCGGCATCTGAAACAGTGGAAGATAATTCCACGGCAGACATACTATTATACTATTTGAAAACTATGCAAACCGTTGTCGTCATCAAGCGTGCGAACGCGTTCTGCCTCCTTTTTCTTCATCAGAGCCACTTTCTCTTTCATTGAGACCTTCATTTGAGCCTCCTGTTGTTCACGTACTGACATGGTCTTCTTTCCATGGATGCTACAATGCGAACCTCGTTTTTATGAGACCTACTTTCCTGGAGTTCTGTAGATATGTCCGCCATAAGAAAGCTGAGCGGCATCGCGACCACGCAGTGTAGCTGAGGTGATCGCGATATCGGACAAGCCTTCCTGGGGGACTTTAAGGTTCCTTTTAAGCCAACCTCATATGCTTCACATTGGACGTCGATGCAAGTCCTTCGGGAACATCGTCTCTTCTTTTGAGCTTTGATGCTAGAATCTCTTCTGAAACTCGAAGGTTTCTGTCATCACTGTCGAGGAATTTAAATTAAAACAACTACCGTAGCGCTTGTTCAGAGGGAAATGTTCGGAACCAGAAGGCTGTGCTGCATAATCTTGTCTCGCTCCTCTCCCCCTTCTTCCTCGCCCTCGTCCTCTTCCTCGCGCGGGCATCGGCTTAAAAACAGAAATGGGCTGAACTGGAAGAACTTGCCCAGTTTGAAATCTCCTAGGTAACAGAGCAAAACTGTATACAGTCCAACAAGCATCTGGCACAACTTACCGGAACTACCATTGTTATTGCTTCAGCTCCAGCTTCAAGGAGCGCGTCAGCCTCCTCATCACCCAACTGTTCGATATGTGGTTCCACTAATTCTGGAGCAGGCGCGTTTGATTCCATGACTGCATCAACAGATTCCGTGGTCAGAGCAGCAGTTTTTTCCGGGCCCTCGACGGCGCTTGAAGGCTGCTGTACATGTAGGACGGGTGTTTTTGCTACTTTGGAAAACTGAGGTGCTGCTCGCGAAGACTTCTTGGCCAGAGGTGATTCAACAAGCTTCTTTGAAGGCACAGCACCACCCACTAGCCTCTCCAACTCAGAAGACATACCTGAAACATTCGTTCATGCTCTTATGAAAGAAGTTTAAGTGGGCCAAAATGACGATGAAAAAGTTGCACAAAATTAAGACAATACGACAAGTAAAAAAGGATAAAAAAGAAAAGCGTAATTTTGAAAAATGACCATCATCATCATCATCCTCCGCATGAGAACGGTGATCCGGGAAGTCAAACTCGAATGCCCTCTCCACATCACCAGTGCATAACTTCTCAGCATCTAGCTGTATATTTGGTGGCATCTCAGATTTGAAAGATGGTGAAGTCTCTGCAACCAATATGTAGTACACGGTAAGTTAAAACATCAATAACGTCTCGCAAAGAAAAAAAAATCACTGGAAGAGATCCCAATCAACAAGTGCATAGATTTGCTTCCTTGTAGAGCGCTGCGCAGTTCACAATCGCAAAGAGGGTAACACTTTCACGAGCGAAATTCCTTCAGGGATCCTGCCTGTCAAGATGGCCAGACTCCGCCCACAAAGGTCGTTCCTCTCCCTCGTTATTTCACCTGCTGCGTTTACCTCTGTAATCGGTCCCCATTTCAACGGCTATTTCTCTTTTGTCCGCTCAGTTTTTCATTGAGCTAACACACGTTTGCAACAAAAAGGTGTCTTATTCAGGGCCGTTTTCATCAATGTCTTCTTCGTTGACGACCGTAGAACCCTGATTTTCTGAACCCCACTACCGATGACTGGCCATTGTGGACTGTCTTCCACTTCTATTGCAATTTAGAGGGGACTATAAGGCAGCGGGTATGATGGCTGGGGGCGGGCGGTTGTTGCCAACGTCACTGGTGAAAGTGATAAGCTGGGTGTGGCCGAAAGTGCTCTCGCAGTCCTTCCGCCAATGATGTTGGCAACAATCACCCTCCTCCAATAATCGTGCTCACGAGAAAAAAAAGAAAAAACTCACTGGCATGCTTTATAACATTGAGCATAACAGGCACGTATGTTTTGATAAGCTTCATCACCTTGTCAAAATCCTTTTTTATAGATTTGATTTTGGCTTGCAGATGTTTCGACCTGAAGATGCTAGATTAAAAGAACATACAAACCATCGAAGAGCCTAAAGGTTTCATATGCTCACTCTTTACAGTATCCATTGCCAAGGGTGAGAACTTTCTCGAAGGTGTCCATTTCGTTCTTTCGCTTATCTTGAATCTTCTTGGACAATTCGAGAGATCTTTCATATTTCGCTCGCCAAACGTTCGCCTCATTAGCATGTTTCTTAAACAATTCATCTAAAGACAAACCCTGCGATTAAGTTTTATGGGAAGTACTGCTCAGTTATGTCTCAGGCTGGCTTTGGCACGAAACGGCCAGTAGTCCGCGCTCCACAGGCCAAGTCAAAACAAGCTTAACGCCCCGTTGCCTGCAACACGGGCACTGGACGGGCTCAGACTCAGCAAAGTGATATTCGTGTTCACGGGTCAAACTTCCCATGCACAAGCTTTTAGCCAATTTAGTGGTTAACAGGCGCCTGTGATCAGATGGCTTTGGGCCAAGCCGATGTGATATTCGTGTCCAGGAGGTCATACTACCGCTAAAGGTAAGATTTCCACCAAATCTGCTACCGGAGAAAAAGTTCGCTGAAAAACTGGCTTGTTATTAAAAGACAGGGGAAAGGGTAAATACACTCTAGTTCGCTGCGGACGGTTGGGCGTGTCAGGCAGTATGTGTGTCACCCCGTCAAAGCCGTTCTCTGCCTTCTTGTTGAAGCGCGCATGCGACAAAAAGTGGTAGAAAACGAGTAATACGAACGATATGATACAGTCATATCATTTGCTCGCTTTAACAACTGGTGGAGAACGGGTTTGGCACCGCGCCAAACTCATCCCGCCTGACACGCCTAACCGTCCGCGGCGAACTAGACTGTAGTGTGCAGGAGAGGCATTAGAGGAAAACCATGACAAAATAGCTCGCGAAAATGTGGTGTTAGTTCGAAGGATACCATCCTTGTCGAAGCAGTTCGACCTGCAGTAATTATCCTATCATGCGGCATAAGCGAATCCATGCCACTCAATAATCATTTTGAATGACACTATCTCAGAAGTTAACTAATAAGCAGTACTTTCTCATTGGAAGAATTTCAAAAATCGTTAGAGACACTTCTACCAACCTTTCCCTCTTCAGCGGCCTTTGCCATAGCATCGAAGTCTTTTTCAAGCGCATCAAACTTCTCTTTTACCTTCAAAGCCATTATGTTTACACAATAATTGATAACAGTAAAAACAACGAAGAAAACTTCACCAGACCTGCACCGCTTCCGCTTCAGCAGTTTCCGCTCGAGCTTTCAGCGTGTGTTCAGCTTTCAGGCTTTCTTCTATCTGATTATGCGATTCGGCAACTTGCTTTGAGCAACTCACATTGCTGGAATGGTTGGAGTATACACCTTTAATTCTTCGCATTCAAGGAATTGATAAACACGTACACGGTAGGAAGTTAGTGAGGGGTGATTAACTGCCTCGGTGTAGTGTTTCACGAAGAAAACAAAATAGAACCTTGCAACAGCAAAAGTGTGGTCACACTTTGGGGCAGGTTTTGGGCAATCAGGAAAGTGTAGGCATCGATCTAGCGTTACGAGCGCCCGCACTAATCGATACCTATACTTTCTTAGTCGCTGAAAGCGTCGACGGAAAGTATGAACGCACTCCGATGTTAGTATTCACATTTCGCGACAGGGAACGATTCATCAAAACCAACGAACCGCTGCTCATCAGATGAAGTGAAGGCTGCCCTAGCCAAAATGGAACTGTTGTCTGAGGAGGGGCAAATGTGGCAGAGTGGATTCCACAATTCTGGAGCACCCAAACCTACTCTAGCTTGGTTCTTCAATGCTATATACCCTCAAGACGAGGTCAGCGAGAGAGTGAAAGAAGGCCAAAAGTTGGCAGCTCTCCAGGAATTGCGCACAATGCGCAGTTTTGAGGTGTAATGAGAATAAGGGGCGCGTTCGTACTTTGCGACAGCATTCTGAGCGTTTGTCAGCGTCGTGACAAGAAAAGTATCGATATCCATCTCACGTTTTATCGTTCTCCAGCGCTTCCAGGGAATATCGATATCTATACTTTCTAGCCACTCAAGCCCAGAAAAAGCACGAATGCACTCTAAATGTCCTGCTGGGGTTCAGCAGATTCACCAAAAGAGGTGAAAAGCGAGTGCAAAGACTGAGAGCCGTACCGGTTTCAAATCCTCCAACTGAACATTTTGAGCAGATAACACCTGCATAGATTTCAACGAATCAATAAGCATCGCTTGATAGATCACACAACGATCGCATTTTGGTGTCAGCTGAAATGAAGAGAAAAATGGTTGATAGTGACAAGACATTACGAACTTCATTAGAGCTGATAATTTCTCAAAATGGGCCGCTTACCACAGTGGAGGCATTTTCTCTATTATACACTTCCTCTTCTTCCTCATCATCTCCTTCAAGAGCTAACTCGGTAAGTTCTGCCATCATTTCATCGGAGACAACTCCCTGAAGAGCCCAGAGTCGAAAAAAGCAAAAGAAAAAGACGAAAATTCAGACATCAAAACAACTGTTTTCCTTAGAAATAAAGTATACTTTGAATCAGCAGTTTTTTCACCAGCTGAGTACCTTAAAAATTATAAAAAATCCCCTGTGAACATCAGCCAGATTTCACCGTTCACAATATTATGCAAACCATTCCTTAGACGCATAAAGCTCAAA